ATATATAATTTATCGATGACAATAAATAATCATCGATCATAACATGAATCAATTCCGTACGGCTACACTAACATTCGTGGAAGTAGACGCTAGCTTAATAAACACCGCGCAAAAAAATCGAGAACACGCGAATGGCATTAGAATGCTTTACAGACGCGTTTGGTATTGTCGCGGCGTCGCGTGGCAGATACAACCGATAAGACGAACCTATGTTTCAACTTTAGCTCCTCCGGCGTGGCTTTTCTCGACTGCAAGAATGAGAGGAGGAGAATAGAACGATGACACGCTGATAGAATTACGACAATTTCACAGAGATGTTCATGCTACATTGTCATACGGCTGCTCGCCATTGCAACGCAAAACGACCACATTCTCGTTCGCAAAATTCGACACAATTATTAGCATATAATAATACAGATATTATCAGGAGTAAGAAAATATAGTGTCACCTATATTGTGACACTGCTGATATTATTAATCAATTACATATATTACAATAGCATCATAATTATTCGTATTGACTCGACAGGAAACCACGACTCGCGTGCCCTCGTCCACCGCCGCCAGGGGGCGCCTCCTCTTCGTCGCGGTGACTCACCGGCAGCAGCAGGCAGCGTTCGAGCAGCCCCCACTCCTCGTGCTGTGCGAAGATCCTCTGTATCCGCGCCGGACTCTCCGGGTGGCCGCTGCGGGAAGGAAGCGTCTCGTTACGACGCCGGTAATGTCGGCATTACGATTATACTTATATCAGTATAATACTATCAATATAATATGGTAACTATTGGATAACCCTCGCATGCAAATGCGTCTCGTTACGATGCTGGTAATATTGGTATTATGATCGATATTACCGATACTATTGATGACATGATGACTGTCGGATAACCCGCAATAAATCGGGTTTTTGGACGTACATTGTCAGAGTTTTCTTCTACTAACTGTAGCCGATCTGCACATCATGAAGCCATTGTGTATGATGGGGGAGGACAGTAATTTACGTCGATCAAGCAGAGTAATGTTCCTGGACAAATGTTCCCGAGTTGTTCGCGTGAACGGCCAGGCAAGAACACAGGCAAATGTGATCCACGTAATTCAGACAAACGTCGAAAGAAAGATCGTTTCTTTTTTTGAGTACGTGACGTCCTCAGACCTCAGACATCCTGACTGCAACATCGTGGCGGAGTCTAACCTACACTAATCGCCACGGCAGCGATGCATCGCCATGGCGACGACGACGACAACAACTTACGGGTCGGCGTAGCTCCGGTGCAGCATCATCTGCTTGTCGTAGACAAGGCACGTCCTGCGGGAGAGCAAGCAGACGACACGGGATCAGACAACGAAGCATCCCGAACACGGGACGCATCCCCGACGACAGAGCCACAGAACGGAGAATGTACGACGGAGCACGCCAACGATGTTAACGCCTCGCGCGCGCCGGCGGCGCCACCTACCTGTGCGGTGCCCTGCGCAGCACCATCTGGTGGAGGACGTCGGCGATCTTCGCGTCCCACGCGCGCGTCTCCGCCTCGCTCCTCACCTCGTGCACGTCCCGCGTGTCGTAGCGCGCCGGCCGACGCTCGTCCGCCGCAAACTCCACGCCGTCCGGCCTGAGGAACAAGAGAACGTCACAGGTCGCTCGTCGCGCGGGGTCATGAGTCATCGAGTAAAGGTCACAGGTTTTGGAGGTTAACGCAGGGCAGCGGAGGGTCACGGAAGGTCATGGAAGGTCACGGAGAGACAGCGGTGCTTGCGATGGACAACGAATCAATCGACCACTTTCCTCGGATTCACTTCTCTGCCGAAAGCGTCGATGCCCCGAACTTCGCCAGCGACGGAATCACCGAGAATTTCTTGCGAAATTTCCTGTTCATACGATGGAACCTGACACATGTGCACATCCGACAACCTGCACTTACTTGACGGGCGGCGTGTAGGTGGCGCCGCGGTCGACGCCCTGGAAGCGCAGGCATCTCCAGTGCGGCCGCAGCAACGTGATCAGTCGCTCCATGACCTCCAGCAGGCTGCGTCGCGAAAAACACACACGTCAGCCGACATGGAAAAGATCTCTCTCACTCTCTCTCTCTCTCTCTCTCTCTCTCTCTCTCTCTCTCTCTCTCTCTCTCTCTCTCACTCTCTCTCTCTCTCTTTCTCACCATTGTTCTCTCTCTCTCTCTTTCTCACCATTGTTCCCTCTCTCTCTCTCTCTCTCTCACTTTCTCGCCATTCTGGTCCCCCCTCTCTCTCTCTCTCTCACTGCTCCCTCTTTCTCTCTCTCCCTCTCTCTCCCCCCTCTCTCTCTCTCTCTCTATAGCACAGCCACCAGCAAGCACAGCAACTAGAATGATTGTCCCAGAGAGGGACTAATAATACCACCGCTTCGAGCTGTTATGGTGGTGGTGATCTGTGAGAGCATAACTGGTGCCGCGCATCTCGAAGCGCGTGCAGAAATGAGTACCATCGAATGAGTTGCGAGGCAAAAAGTCGTATGACGATAGACGTTTTTATACAGCGGTTGGAATGCGTGCGTAGACGGCAGTGGCAGGGCATAGGTTTTTATCCTGGGTTTGCGAGGCAAAAAGTCTGATGGCGATCGAAACGTTTTTATACAGAGCTTGGAATGCGTGCGTTGTTATGCTAGTGGTTTTGTATGAAGTGGGTGGGCAGTTATGTATGAAATAATCCACTAGTTGGCCTCAGCATGTCATATATAACAAAATGGGTTTATTTACGAAAAACCGCCATAACTCTTTCCGAAAATGTCGGACGGAAAAAATGCATCGCAGGTGCACAACTACCTTGTGTACTCATGATGTGTACCAAATATGGTTGAAATCGGTCCAGTACTTTTCGAGGAGATCTGCGCACAAGGTTGGTGTCGGACAGACAGACAGACAGACAGACAGACAGACAGACAGGGTGAATCCTATATACCACCCCCCCTAACTTCGTTGGCGGGGGTATAAAAACAGATCAAATTGTTTGTTTTGGCCGCAAACTTTTCGTGAAGACTAACGAACAGCAAGACAATCGGCCAATGCGGGGCAACGCAGACGACTAACCTGCTGTCGGGAGGTTCCAACGGACCAATCGGCGGGCAGGGATCGCCTAGTAGCGCCCTCACTGTCATGGCGACCGAGTGCGACAGCGACGTGACACAATATCCTCCCTACGGTTAGAAATATGCCATTTTAATAATAATAATAATAACAATAATAATTATTATAATTATATTAACTAACAGTGCAAACTGACATCAACGACTAGTAATCGTAACCGGGCCGAGGACAGAACACAACGACGTGCTTCGCACAAGATTTCGCTCCGCAGTAGACAGGAGAACTCTGAACGACTGAAGACGGACGAGAACGGGAGAAAAGGGAAGATTCTGACCCGACCGCGCTGTCACCTGTGCGCGGTACGACGAACCTACCTCCAGGTAGACGCACAGCCGACCCTCAGCTAACGTCGACAGCATGTTGACGAGATGTGCGTAGCATGCCGGCGTGACCTTCATCTCACCCTGAGCGAGGAGCGGACGACAGATATGTTACGATCGAACTCAACCCGACTACCGCAACAACGCCTAACTTGTATATCCGATCGAGATCATTTATTGACAAATGGTGGTCCACTAATAGCCTAGCGGAAAAGGAATCGCATGACTATCCAAAATATCGTTATTATTTTAGTCATTATTATAGCATTATTTATATACAAGTAGAACTGTGACGATGTCCGAGAATATCTTAGTATCATAGTGTGTACAAAACAGAGAGGGGAAAAGGAATAAAATAAAATATATAATTGTAACAAGGGCTGTGACAAATAAAGAGCCAGCAGCGGGTAGTCGCTACAACTAACAGCGCCCCCTGCCGGTGCAGCGTACGATACCTCAGGGCAGCCCAGCGCAGCGTCGTAACCCGACGAGACTATGACGAGATCGGGAGAAAACTGAAACATCAGAACATCCGAAGCTAGTTAGGATTTGCAGCGCATGCGAAAAAATGTGATAACCTCGATTAGAAACAGTCGTTACGGTTCAACGGCTATTTATTTAATAGCATATCCATAATAATCATTTCAAAGCCATCGTGTATACAGAGATGGTGCTTACCTCATATGCAATAGGCATCAGGATGTTGTTGAATATTGCAATGTATTCGCTGTTGCCCATGCCCGTCTGTAATACAGCACGCAATGACGATTACACGTGCATGCATAGAAACAACTTACACTACGTCACGTCTGTGCTACAAACTATGTCTTGTAAGTGTGGGGAAATATGTGCCACTG